GCCACCACTGCCCAGCTGAGTCTTCTGTCAGCATCTGCCGGGACAGTATGAACCACAGTACCAATTTCCAACTCATATATATATATATATATATATATATATATATATATATATATATATATAATAGCATCTCAGAGCTTTCATTACTCTGTCTCATTGTCAAGAATATCAAAAACTCTTTTATCTCAATAATTGAAACAATTTTAAAATTATTTACTTTTATATGCAGACTATTTCATGCAATTTAGTTTCCACTGTCTGGTAGTCTTACTCTTGAAACTGGTGACTTATATGGCTGATTATGTTTCATCTTAAAAAGAGAATCCCAGCTGTCCTTAATAAGCTTCTTTATTAGTTTTATATGACTTTAATATATTTAATTTGTTTAAATTACATTTATTGAAAACATCCCCTTAAAAATTAAAGCATTTCTTTAAAAAGATGAAAAGCACTGACATGTAACAGAATGTCACTTGTAAGAGCCATTATCACGAACTAGGATTTTCCAAGTGTCTATTCAGTGGCCCACTTCATTCTCTAGGATTGTTGGATTGATTCACTTTATGTTACAGAATTCATGGAATCAACCTGTGTGCTAGGTCCAGTTCTAGGTCTTGAAGACAGATGGTGAATGTCACAAGGAGTGGTTCCCATGAAGCCTGTGTTCTATGCAGTCCCGGTTTGCACTCCCACGGTGTCTTCTGGGTGAAGCAGTCTTTGCAGAATTTCTACTGAAATAAACATGCTCTGCAAAACCCACTGTTTTGGATTTCCAATGCTAGAGATTGGTCATCAGATTGAAATAATTTTCTGTTTGTTATTCCAACCTCAGATTGCACATTCTTTAATTTCCTATGATGTTTAATTAGTTTTTAACAGAAAGGACTTCAGATTTACTTGAATTTCACCTTTTATGACATCATCCAGAAAATGAAGTGCTGTATTAGAACAATTGGAAGCCTTTAAAAAATGAGCTAAATCTGCACTTTCTCCACTGGTATTTCCCACAAGATCCCAGTTTTCACAAACAAACATTTTTCATTAAAGCCATATTTTCCTCAGGCTGATCAGAACTCATTTCGTATCTATTTCCCACCTTTGTTGGAAGTACAAAACCATAAATATTCCCAAATACTGAATTTCATATTTAATTAAAACGTTAAAGCATTTTTATAAAAAATTGAAATGTGGTTAGAAATGCTAAATTGAAGAGTTTACTAAAAATGTGTTTTCTCATTTCAGTATGTACACATTTTGGTGTGTAAACACGTACACCACCTACCACATTTGCAGGCATGCCCATATAATTCATGTTTAAAAGTTACAGTAAATCTGAAAAATGGCAGATTGCTTTTACTATATAACATGGTATTATAATTTATACTTTTTCTTCATGGCCCATGTCCTTTTATAGGGCACTACTGCCATTTTGATATAATAAATAAATGTTCAACAAATTTGATTTTGAAAAGCATTTGAAGCAGTATTGGGCATTTGATATTTGTCCATGTTAACACCAACTCATTCGTGGTTTTGCTGAAATCTTATTTTTCACTCCAGAGGACTTGGGTTGTCCTTACTTTTCCTATCAAGTTAGAAGATGACGTCACCCCAGATTCATTATAAATCTCATGTTTTCTTTGTTCTGCTGCACTTTTTCAGGAAAGGATCCTCAGGATACTTCAAAGGACAGGTATAAACCTTGCACACTAATGACCAGCATGGGAATGAAAAGCCTTTGACAGAGAAAGTCATCTGCCTGAGAACAGCCACACCTGGGTAAGGAAAGACGGGAGGACCCTGGGGACTTCCCAGGAGCACAGTGCCTTGAATGAAGCAGGAAACCACACGTCCTGTGACATTGATGGCGAGGTTTCTTAGGTACAGTGAGGGCTGACAGGCAACGGCTCCTTTACCAGTGATTGGCCCTCTTCTGACCTCCACGTAGCAGTTTGAGCTAATGAATTCGTATTAGAACTGTGTCATTCAGAAATATTCCGATAGTGAAGATTTGAGGATTTTATCAGCTGCTACCAATGTCTGTTTTCTGCAGTCGACATCGGTTCCGAGGCCTCAGCTTCTGACACCTTGACTCACCTTAATTTCCTACTTCTTTCCTGATTGCCTCCAACTGGCTGAGCGATTTGTTGTCCCTGAATACCCTGCTCCCTTCCCCTCTTCCCTCCCTTTAAAATGTCTTTTTTTTTTTTTTCTTCGAGACAGGGTTTCTCTGTGTAGCTTTGCACCTTTCCTGGAACTCACTTGGTAGCCCAGGCTGGCCTCGAACTCACAGAGATCCGCCTGCCTCTGCCTAAAATGTCTTTCTTCCACAGCCATTGCTTGATGGATTTGTCCTGTTCTGCTGTAACTGACTCAATGTCGTCTCTTTCATACCCCCCTCTCCATCCATCCAGTACTTTATATCACCTTTTTTATTTTTATTTTTTAATTGAAAATAGATTCTTCTCTCAAACAATACATCCCAATCACAATTTTCCTTCCCTCCACTCCTCCTCGCTACTCCCTCACCACTTCCCCTCTCCCCCAGATCCACTCCCTCTCTGTTTTCCTCCTCAGAGAAGAGAAGACAGCCAAAGAGGACAAAACAAGATACAGTAACACAAGGGGAAAGCCCTCATATCGAGGCTGGACCAGGCAAGCCAATCAGAGGAAAAGAGTCTTAAGAGCAGGTAAAAGATTCAGAGATACACCCACTTCCACTTTTAAGTACTAGCTATTTTCAATGATAAAGGAATATAATGAAGCCACTTTGCCTTGTGAATCTCTTTCTGAAAACCCAGCTCAGCTCAATCTGCTGAGGCTTCTCTAGTCTCAGAATGAGGAAGACCAATGTACTTTACATGTTTAAGGTTATATTGTAGCTCACAATCTGGGCCATAACTATTTCAGGTAGGGATATTTTGAAGATATTTTCAATCTCATCTACTACCTACTATATTGTCCTACACAAAATGATCATTTAAAAAGTAGTATATGATGATGGATAGAATCAGAAAGAATAAAGCTTTAAATTGCTTCCTTTAGACCATTTATGCTATAAATGTTTTTATAATTTCCCACTCACTTTTTCTAGAAGGTTCTTTATCAAATAACTTTTTGCAAATGACCTTTTAAAAACACTTTTATTTACATATCTTTAAGCGCATATCTATCTACACCTCATATTCATTTCTATAGATTCATTATGAGTTTAGACCCATTTTTTCCCTGTTAGTCCTGATCACCTCTCTGGGGTTACATCATCGGCTTTTGCCAAAATAGCTCTGTTTTTGAGTTTTTCTGTAAGACATCAGAGAACTTGGGAAGTACATCCTCTTTAATATAAATGTTAAACTTGGAACATAGATACTGAAATAAGCCTTGAAATTATTCATATACAGAGGATCTGAAAGCATAATAAGTCATTCAGGAAGTAACACTCTTTTTTTTTTAGCAGACAAAATAGGACGCAAAGTCTGGGGTGTACTTTCTGAAAACCGTGGAACTAGAGAGTAATAGGTGTTTAAGGTCATCAATGTATGGGTGCCGAAATGTGCAGTGTTTTCATGAAGAACAAAATCAAAACTTCAGTTTGGCCAGTGAGAGTTTTTGAGAAAACAAAAATCAGAGAGAAAAACAGTTGTAGATGAAGAAAACCAAAAGTCTTTCACTAAATTCACAATAAGCTATGATAAATGCTAGCAGTGTAGAGTACCCATGACACTGTAGTGTGCCCGTGACAAGGTAGAATGTCTGTGACACTGTAGGGTGTCCATGATACTTCCGGGTGATGTTCATGACACTGTACAATGTCCATGACATTTTAGGGTGTCTATGACACTGTATGGTGCCTATGACACTGTAGGGTGTTCATGACACTGTAGAGTGCCCATGACACTGTAGGATGCTGTGATGCTGTAGGATGGCCTTGGAAAGTGATGAGAGGCTCTGACAGAAACGTTCTGAAAGAACTTTGGGAATGCAAGGACGGCAAGGCCATGATGGTGATGACCCTTTCATGTGTCTATACTCATTGCCAAAGTCACTTGGTTTTGTATATTAACTATCTATAGGATGTGTGTGTGTGTGTGTGTGTGTGTGTGTGTGTGTGTGTGTGTGTATCATACTCCCAATGAACTATTTGTTATAAAATACTCTAGTTTATTCTTTAATGCTGATATCAACTTAGAATCTTAAGAACTCAAGAGATCAGTTCAAACTGTCATCCATTCAAGGTGTCAATCCTGGTCACCTTCTTGTGGTCCCGTTGCTCTCAGGCCTCTGCTAGAATATCTCTGTCTGTCTGCTGCCCTACAACACAGCTCCTAGAACAGGCATCTCCAGACTTTTCTCAATGGCCGCAATAAGACAAAATGCGTCCTTTGCTCTCCCAGTGGCTTTTTGGTGGGTAATAGGCTTTGATAATGATTTAAAGAACACAGTGTGTTTGCCCCCTGGCACTGTCAATAGCTTCAGGTGGAACTTGAGACGATTTTCTTTTTTCTCAGCAGTCTCTTAACTTGACTATCGTGTGAACATTTACTCAACTTCTCAAAATAGTGAAAGCAAAGGAAAGAGCCTGCACAAGGATCAAAGGGTAAACCAGAGTTGCTGCCTCATGCTCTCTGCTTGCAATTTTAATATGAGGTCAATTTAGATGATTGGTTTCAACAGCATATTTTCAACAGCTCTGTGCTCGCCCTTATTAGATAGATATTTACCAGACACTGGGACATTACATAATGCAATTTGCATTATCAGTTTAATTCTTTAGCTGTGAAGAAAATGTATGTGATCAAATTATAAATGGAAAGAAACAAGATTGAGTAGGCATTTGTACAATTTTACGAGTTTCAAATAAATTGGAGAGTCTCAAGAAAAGGATGTTGGGATAATGAGAGCTTTGTCCAATTTCCAGAGGCGAGGCCTCAACAGGAAGTATTGAATTTTGCCTCTCTTCCTCCCAGGACTTGTATTTCCCAATGTCCTGTTCTTCATTTGTTTCCCACACACCTAAACCAGCCAGAAGTGGGAGCCATCAGCCTCTGCTTCAAGGGAGCTTCAGAGGTGTTTGGTGTGACAACGCTAATCTCCCCGTTTCTAAAAGATGACCTTAAATTTTTGTTTTTAGACATTAGGACTATTATTTTGAGATTTTTTTTTTCCTAATCAAGATGTGGAAATATACGTTAAAGGAATTCCCAAGTATTTCAAACAATGACCTGATATAAGCAAATATTAACGTATTGGGAATTTTAAAGTGGGAAGGTACCTTTTCCCTTCAAGGATTTTTTATGTACAAATGAACTCCTTGTAGCAGGGATCTTAAAAGTTCTTATTAATAAAATCAAACCCGAGGCCAGTTATTGGGGTGAATACTGGAAGGTCAGAGAGACAGAACAAGCCACAGCTATCTCACCTTGCCAATTCCTCAGCTGGACCTGTTTCCTCAGACTGGAAGACTCTGAGTCCTCATCCAGAATGAATCCCAGCTGAACTGTGTTGCTCCAAAGCCTGAAAGCTTAACCAGTCAAATGCTTAACCAGCCAAATGCTTAACCAGGCCAAATGCTTCTAGTTTCTGGTCCTCACGCCTTATATACCTTTCTGCTTTCTACCATCACTCCCTGGGATTAAAGGCTCGCTTTCTGGGATTAAGGGCGTGAGTCACCATGCCTGGCTGTTTCCAATGTGGCCTTGAACTCACAGAGATCCAGATGGATTTCTATCTCTGGAATGCTAGGATTAAAGGCGTGTGCTATCACTGCCTAACTAGTGGCTTTTCTGTTCTCTGACCCCAGATAAGTTTATTAAGGTACACAATATTTTGGGGAACACAATACCACCACAACTCCTCTAAAGGGCCTTGCTTCTGGTGTTGGATGTGTAAAAAACAAACAAACAAACAACCTAAGTTTGAAGTGTGTTGGCTTAAAAAATCCAAAACAACAACAACAACAACAACAACAAATTATTCACGGCTGGAGCTGGCTCAGTGGTTAAGGAACTTGCTGCTATTGCAGAGGGCCAGGGTTCATTTCCAGTACCCATGGCAGGCAGCTCACAACGGTTTGTAACTCTAGCTCAGCAGATTCAACACTCTTTTCTGGCCTTCAGTGGTACCCGAACTCATGTTGTACACACACACATGCACGCACGCACACGCACACGCACACATACATACACACACACACATGCATGCATGCACATATGCATGCTTGCACACATGAATAAAAATAAATCTTAAAAAAATAAATTTACAAAACCAAAACAACAACAAAACCAAGTGGCTTGCCATTTTCACAATTCCTTTGATTCAGTCACTTATGCTGGGAACGGCTAAGCTGATCATGTGAAAACGTACCAGGTATGCACATCTTCAGGTGATCCTTTACTCGAATGTTTCACTGGGAGAGTTTTCTGTTGCCCACTGTGTTTCTACCACACAAACTTCTCTTCCAGACTAGTTTGCACGACTGTCTTTATGGTGGGCAGAATAATGTTCCCTCAAAGTTGTCTTTATTCCTGCAATGTGTACATATGCTGCTTTGCATGTCAAAAGATCTTTGTAGAGAGTGAAGAAATCCCTTGAGATGGGGAGATTATTACCTAGGGAAGTCCGATTGGTTCACACAGGTCCCCAGCAATGGAGAGCCTTGTCCAGCTGTAGTCAAAGTGTGAGTGTGACTGGGAATGTTTTAAAGATGGAGGCCAGAACAGAGCGATTTCTAGAAGCTAGAGAGACAAACGAATGGATTCCCCCTGGAGCTCACAGAGGGAATGCAGTTCTGTCAAAACCCAGACTTTAGCCTGTTGATACCTGTCAGAGTCCTGATCTATAAGATCAGAAGTGAACACATTGTTTTACCTTGGTAATTTGCTACAGCAGCAATGAAAACAAGACAAAACAAAACAAAACAAAACAAAACCGGATACAGCTTCCTTCTGAGATGATATGAGCTTTACTGAGAAGCAGATGGACAGAATTTGAGAATTAATTACAGACTACCTTTTCTCTCCTCATATCTAGAGGGATGAGGCTGGGGTTGCTGAACCACAGAGGGGACAATTGTGAAAAAGCCCATTTTTTTTAGGTGCCTTCAAGCCTTAAAATACATACTTTAGACCACAGATAGAAACTCTTAGCAGGCCACATGGTTAGATTTTTTTTTTTTAAACTATGAAAGTTAGAAAATCCTAAATCAGGGTTCTGTAGTCACTTTTCACATATGAAGGAATCCTCAGGATTTACATTTAAGAATTTGCTTTTTAGAGTAAGTAAGTTGTCCGAATCTATGTGGGGAATTATATAGGCCTCTATTCAAATGGTCGAGCTGCCGACTGGAAGATGAACATGGGACCCAGAGAGGCATTTGTGATCATGCCTTGGCATAGTCTTTCACCCAGCATTTTCTTCTAAAGCTAGCAGTTCTTTTTAGCCTGACAAGGGACTCATGATAGACACTAGTAGTAGACCACCAGCGGTGCAGAAAAGGCCACAATAAATCTAAATGTAATTCAGCTCCAGGGGACCCTCATCCAGTACAGCTGGGGGAGGAGAAACCTAACTCCCTTGGATTTCATGGATGCTCAGGAAAAGCAAGGCATTTGCTTAAAGGTGGTTTAAATAGCTTTTCAGTGCCGAGGCTGCTAATGAATGCACACCTGAGTTCTCGCTCCTTCATTACAGCTGCCTCTTAATGTTCGCCTGCTGTGTATCGCCTACCCAGGGACCTGTTGATTCTTCTTCCTTTCCTGTGACATCTTCCTCGTCCCACGCCCTGATTGCCTGTCATGTCTTCCCTGTCACCACCTTTTCTCAGTGCACGGGTCTTACACCTTCTTTCAAGGAGGCTGATCTGTGTAATCCACCACACCCCATGGTAGGACTGCCCAGTTTTCAGGCCTGTGGAGGGTCTGCTCTTTTGTTTTTACCCTTAATGCCTGAGGCACACTCTGTGTGCCAGCAGGGACAGTCCTTAATAACTCACATATGCTCCCTCTTATTTCTGTTCTCCTATATCATTTTTTTTCTATGGCAGGCAATGTCTTTTTCACTCATTCTATCTGAAAATCAGGATAGGCCCATGAAGCCTCTCTTAGGCCTCTTTTTGTTACTGTGGTTCTGTCTAAGAGATCCAACCCAGTTACTTTTTTTTCCCAGTGTTTTTTCCCCCTTAGGCAGTTCTCTATACGAAACCCAGGCTGGCTTTGAACTCACAATCCTCCTACCTCAGACTCCCGAGTAGTGAGATTACAGAGTGTACTCATGATCATGCCCAGCTTCCAAAGACTTTCATGCAAACTCTTCCTTTGTCTTATGCACAATGGCATCCAGTTTAACTGGCCTTGGACATGCACAGCCGGCTTCACGTGTGCAGTGGAAAGATGGAACCATCTCATGGGGGAGATGTTGGGTTCTAGTACTGATGTGTGAGTCATCAGAAAATGATGCTCAGGAATTGGATGCTGTTCCCCAAGGACAGTCTGATCAGACAGACTATTTGAAGACTGAGAATGGACTCTTGACAGGGGGAAGAAGAAGATGGCCCGAGCCTGAAAAAGACCATGAGGAGTGGCTGGGAAGAGAGTGAAGAACTTCGAGAGCCTGCATTGGGGTGGGAGAAGTACCTGTGGGTACTTCTCCAACAAAAGGCTTTCTGGAATAATAGATTCATTTTGGGTTTAGACTAAATTCCTCCAGGAACCAGCTTGTCTAAGACAACACAGAGGTGGAATAATAAATATATAGTTGCAGTCTAATGCTTATTTTAAAAATGTTTTTGAAAGGCCTGTGGGATGGCTTGGTGGGTAGAGGAGCCTGCCTCTAAGACTGAGGACCTGAGTTTGATCCCCAGGGCACACATGGCTGAAGGAGAGACTCATCTCTGGAAAGCTGTCCCCTGATCCCTACACGGACACAGTGGCACCTCCCCTACAACATGCAACGCATGAATAAATGCAATACAAAAAATTTTAGAATATCTGTGAAGATTCAGTCTTAGTTGGTGTTGCAAACATATAAGTAATTGTGATTAAAAAAAAAGATGTATCTTTGATTCAAAGAGCGAGTTTAAAAATAAACAACAACAACAACAAGAAGGAAAGCGAGGAAGAAAAGATTACTGAGGCAGAGAAACTGAAAGCTACCAGCTAGGCTCTTCATTATAACAACACAGCGGGTTGTTGGCAAATTACTTCTCCCACCACAGAACAATTTAGTCTGGCCGGGCTATTCCTTCGGGGAGATAGGCTGCTAATTGCAACCACCTTGGCAGTGACCTTAAGAAAAGTGCTGTGGCATTGAGAGCAACCAAATTAGTTGTGTTTGATTTATTGTGGCAGCTAATTAGGCGAGCCTTTGACTCAGTGATATTCTAGTTTAATTGAGTAAACGAAGTACCTAAAGAAATCAGCGGAGTCCCTTGCATGATAAGCAGTAAAGAGACGAAAGGTGGTCTTTGGAAAACCAAACCAGGCAGCATGCAATCACTCCCAGGAGGGAAAGATTATCATCATTATAGAGCTAAGTCTGGATGCCCCAAGTGTATTCCACCGCATGCTTCAGCTGGAGCAGTGTTCACTCTCTGTATAGGCTGCTACCTCAGAAAAGAACTTCAGGCGGCCACTTGAGCTTCTGACACATGCTTTTGATAGAAGCCAGAAGGGAGGGAAAACCATTTCCATATTTGCATATGAAACCAAACTGTGTGTTTTATATTGCCCTGTTGGAAGCTGAGATGCACACTGGTATTCTGAATTTCCAGCGTAAAATTCAGATCAGAACCTCTGCTATTTTCCAATGTGTAGTGAGCTAAGATTAGCAGCTATTGACAAACACGGCTGAAGTGTTCTTCAAAACTCATGTCTACCTGGAATCTCAGAATATGGCTTTCTTTAGACACAGTGTCTTTGCGGATACAATTAATTAAGATGATGCATTGAGATGGGTCCCAAGTCTGATAACTATTGTCCTGAGAAGGGGAGAGAACACACAGACGTCGTGAACAGGGAAGAAGAGACATTGAGCCTTGACCCTTTGTTCCAGTTCATTTGCTCAGAGTTCCTGGGTCTATTTACTAAAATGCCACCTCTGTGTCCCAGCCATGCGCCCTGCCCCTGTGGCTGATCGCTGGACACCTCCTTTGAGCATCAGCAAGTATATTCAACTGCTCAGCGACCGTGATTGCTTTTTATGTGATTTTCCTGGCCCTCAGAGGTCATGCAATGGTCATTTATAGCCAACTGAAGTTACTGTACAACAAGGCTCAAGACTCACAGGGGGCTTCCTTGAGACAAAATGTCTTTACCTAGGTAAAAGATCCCTGCATTGGGGAGAGCCTGACCTCTAACTTCCTACTCTAAAATCCTTTGGAGGACTAGTGTATGTTCTATATTTAAGAAGTGGGTCCCTGGGCTTGCGATCATTTGTTTGACCAGATAAGGGATTGATGCCTTTTTTTTTTTTTTTTTTTGTGACTCACAAGAATAGATGGTTTCACAGATAGCCCAGAGTGCCCATGTTTGGTTCCTGACTTCCCTGCAGCACACTATTTACCACTCTCTGTCTCCTGTTTCTGTTCTCCTCATAGAGTAGTTGTAACTCCTAAATGACTTAAACATCTAATCAATATAGAACACTGCCTGGCTCTTTGTAAACACTAGACACCCATGCTTTCTTACTGTTAATCCTGTGTGGTACAGCTCAAATAGAGATGCTGCTTGGACACCAGTTGCTAAGGAATAGGTAGAGTTTTAAGGAAGCCAGTGTATTCAGATTTCTTGTCATTTGTGCCTGTCATTTTCCTAGAGCTACGTTGGAGGCGGTTGTGGCGATGTTCTGCTGGGTGGAAGAGGAGACAGCCATTCAAAACTGTTCAGAAAGTCCTGCTAACTGAACCTAATCATGTGACAGATGTCTAGTAGTGAATCCCTCAGGATAATAGAGAACGGTCATTGAAAACACAAACAAATTATTAAAACTACTGTTCAAATAAAATAAAGAGGCCTCATGCTTCTACACCTGCTGTGGTGTAGGTCTGCTTTGAGTACATCCACTCAAAGCTCATGTGCTAGAGGCTTCATTCCAGCCTAGTGATGTCTAGAGAGGCTAACACTTTAGGATGTATGGTCCAGACAGAAGTCACTGGAGATGCATCCATTGGTGGTATTGATGTAGTTTTTTGGGATTCCCATTCACTCCAGTAGAATAGATTATAAAAATGGGTAGCTAGCATATTCCCTGACTTCTCTGTGCCTTTTCCAGGGTGAATCCACCTACCACAAGGCCCTCAGCAGAGCCAAGCGGATGGAACAAGTGATCTTGGCCTCATCCTTCAAAACTGTGTGCTAAATAACCTTTCTTTAGATTTATATGAAATGCTCAGGGTAAGATATTCTATTACAATAACAGAAAATAAAGTGATACAACACTTCACAAAATGTGAGTATGAAGAAGGACAGGAGTGTAATTTAGCAGTAGAGCATTTTCTTAGCATATGTGAGACTTAGGTTTCAATTATTAGTGCACACATGTGTATATGTGTGCACACATCCCCCCCCAGTGCACAAACACACACACATACACACCCCTACCTGGCTGTCCATCTGTTCACCTACCCATCCATCTGTCTGAAGAAGCTTCTATGGAAAGATAATTTCTTTTAATGTGATACAAGAAAAGTTTTGAAGTATAAAGCATAGCAAAACATGGCTTCTAGTTTCTGTGGAAGGCTACCACACTCTTTCAGCAAATGAGTATTTTCTCATTTATGCATCCAATCATTCATCTAATTAAAAAGTCTGAGTCCCAACTCTGTGTACAATATGGTGTTTAGTCTCTGTAATTCACACATGACTGATGGCTTTGTCCTTAGTTTCAAAGATCTCACTCTGAAGCAGAAAAAAAATGGGGCAGTAGAGGTGACCCAGTAACCCCAGCTAACAACACCCTGGCCAAGATGCCTCCTCTCCTAGTACCCAGTGTGGATTTGCCAGGGCAATAGAGTCCACAGTGACCGTATGCATTAGCTGCTTTTCTTGTGGCTGTAAAAACAGCTGACAAGAGCCAGAGTTTATTTCATCTCCCAGTTTCGGGGTACAGTCCACATGGTGGCTGAAGAATGAGGCAAGTTGGCCACACGTTGTCCATAGTCAGGAAGGATGGAGAGATGAATGATAGTGTGTATCTCACTTTCTCCTTTTTATTCAATCTTGGACCTCAGTCCATGGAATGATGGCACCCATTTTTAGGGTGGATACTCATTCCTCAGTTAAACCACTCTGGAAATACAATCATACACACACACATAGGTAGGTTTCTTTCTATGGTGATTCTAAAGTCTGATTGACAAGGAAGATTAGCTATCACACATTGTGTAAATAATTTTTTTATGTAATACGAAACCAAAAGAATATCTGTGTCATGTTTTGAGAGAGTCTTGAGGTCTTGGAGCTTCAAAGGAGCACAAAGCCCATTAAAAAAATTGGGTGATTCTCTCTTGCTTCGGACTACCCTTCCCCAGCTAGTGGCTTTCCATACCTTTATGGTGCTATAGAAATCCCATCTAGACTGGCCCAGCAGCCAGACCGGCAGGACTCATCTCCTCAGTAACATCTGCATCTCTGAAGCAGAGGCAGTGGGAACACAAAGCGGTATTGACAGATCCACATGGGTAACAAAGTCTTTCTATTATAGAGAAGGTGGAACAAGGGAGACAATGAAACCAGCAGTGGATTGAATTGAGCCTTTTGGGGCCCTTTCCATGAAGATACTGTTTGTCTCTGACTTGGATAATTCTATCTTCTAGGGGTATAAAGATGGCGAACCATGTGCCTTTTTATCACACGGCTCCTTTCTACCTCACTGTGGTAGCTGCATCCGTCACTCTTGTGTTGCTCTCACCAAAATGATTGACAGAAACAACAACGTAAGGAGGGAGAGATTTGTCTCAGTCCATCATTTCAGAGGGTCTTGGTCCATCGTATCCAAGAAGCCATGGTAAGAACTACCCAGCTCATGATGGCACGAGCGTGTGGCTGAGCTTTAAGCATCATGGCAGACCAGGAAACAGAGAGCAACCAGAACCAGGGTTAGATTATCATCTCTAAGAATCTGTCCCTAGTGACCTACTTTTACCAGCCAGTTCTTGTGTTCTAAACCTCTTGCAGTCTCCCAAAGCAGCAAATGCCTGGGAAACAAACATTTGAAAATGAGCCCCTGAGGGACACTTTAGATTCAAGTCACAACACTAGCTTTCTTGGGCTTGTGATATAAGATTCTGGGACAAAGTTGAATGGCTGGTGGGTTGGTCAAAATCCTACAGGGAAGCACTTGGAATCTTAAAATTAAGATACTTTTAGAAGGGCCAGCATCTATTTCTCTTTGATTGCTGGTCTGCTGAGATATGACCAAACTGCCACATTCTCCTACTGCCATGAAACTGCCTGCCACCATGTCCTTCTTATCATGATGAACTGGATCCATCCAAATACCGGCTGAGATAAACCCTTCCTGCATTAAGTTGTTTTTTGTAAGAAGCATTTGATGTCATTGAGAAGAAAAGTCACCAACACATAAAGCTGTTAATGTGAGTGTGGTTGATGCTACTGCTGTATGAAACCTAATCATAGGCCTTCAAAATTCACTGGAAGAGAAACATGGAAGGGTTTGGTGCGGAGGGCTGCAGAAACCCTAGAATGTTGTCAGCAGGGCTTGCTGAGTGATTCTGGTTAGAGTGAAAGACCAGAATACTGATAGAAACATGAATAGCAAAGAAAGGCCACGTTTATGATGTTTCAGAAGGAAACAATTCCTTTTAAAAGTTCCAAGTCCATCTTGAAGACTGGAACTTCAAAAGATCATAGAACCAATAAAAAACGATGGATCCTTTCTTGTTTTTATTTATTCTCTGAGGATTTCATACAACATATTTTTATCATATTCTTTCCTCTCCCCATACTTTTCCAGACCTTTCCAACATTCCCTACCCACCCAACTTCATGTTCTTTAAAAAACAAACAAGTAAACAAACACCCAAAACCATGGAGTCCTATTTGTGTTGGCCAGCTATCCCTGAGCCTGCCCTGGGGTGTGGTTGATATACTCAAAGTCACTCCATTGAAGAGAACTGATTTTCCTTCTCCCAGCAACTATAAATTGCTAATAGCTTCTTGACAAAAATGGAATGTGTGAATAATGTATAGTTTGTTGAGAAGAGGGTGTTAACATAGTTAAAATTGTGGACAGAGAAGACAAAGTGTATGAAGACGGTATGGCTGTATAGGAGACTGAAATCAATAAAGTAAAAATTCCATTCTGCCATACAACATTCAGAATGGTAACTTGAGGGACATGGCTCACCAAAGTCTTCAGGGTATTAAATGCACATTCATTTGAAAGCAGAATGCCAGAAAAGAATGCCTGAAACATGGTGTCTCCATGGCACCCTGCTGCATCTTGAAGTGGCATTGCAAGTTCGTGTTTTTCACATGGTCTTGTAGGCATGCAGAAAGTATGAGTTATGAGGCAATGGAGGTTTGCACCAAGGTTCCAAAAAAAGCTCCCCAGGCCAAGCAATGTGTAGCAGAGACAGATACCTGCCTAGAGCTTGTGAGTGGACTGTGGATGGAATTGTGAAGGTGAAGCCTGAGACTCACTGGATCCCAAGGGTACTGAAGATACCAAAAATGTGTGAGTTGTCCTGAGGAAAGCTGCAGGCCACAGGTGGAGCAGTCCAGAGAGAGGCCACAACTGCTTCAGGCAATAGAACTCAGAAAAGCTACGCAAACCTGTTGAAGTCCAGATGATGCCATCATGAGTCCTAAGTTTCAGTATAAATGATTTGGTGTTTGTCCTTTGTAGGTTTTTTTTTTTTTTTTTTTTTTTTTATCAAATCTTTCCCTGCCCTCCTCCAAATCCTCCATGTTGGATGAGGATATTTACCTTCTGTCACATATTGGAAATATGTAACTTTTTTATTTTGTTGGGGTTTACAGGTAAGAGATTGTTTTGAGTCTCAGAAAAGACTATGGCTTTTGGACAGCTAAACAGTGTTGGAATTGTAAGACTATCGGCATACACTGAATATATTTTGTATTTTAAGGTAGAGGGCCATGAACCTATGGTTATCAGGAGTTAGAATATTATGAATTGATGTAACAAGTTGGGACGTCAAGTTGATATGCAGTGGACTTGCAATGGTTAGTTTTCAATGCCAACTTGATTGAATTTAGAATACCCCAGATACTGAGGTCTTCTCAGTATGCCTTTGAAGAGTTTTTCAGAGAGAATAAGCTAATGGGGAAAGATTCATCCTAAATATCTGAGGTACCATCCAATGGGCTGTGGGCTGGGTACAATAAAAGAGAAAAAAAGAAAAAGCTATTTGAGCACAAACATTCACCTTTGTTTTCTTGTCTGTAGAAATGGAGTGAACTGCTTCATACTCTTGTTGCCACAGCTGCCAGTGACATCTGTCTTCTGCCATGCTGTGTCCCCTAAAACCAAAGTTAAATAAAACAAATCCTCCTGTGCTGGTTGGTTTTTGTCAACTCAAACCTAGACAGAGGGAATCTTATTTGGGAAAATGCCCCCATAAGACTGGTCTGTAGGCAAGTCAATAAGGCTTAATGATTAATGTGGGAGGGCCCAGCACACTGTGGACAGGGCCACCCTTAGGTCCTTAGGTTCTGGATGGTATAAAGAGGCAGGCTGAGCAAACCATGGGGAAAGGCCAGTAAGAAGCATTCTTCCATGGCCTCTGCTTCAGTCACTGCGTGTAGGTTCCTCCCTTTGCTTCCCTCAAAAGTCTGTGACCCAGAATATGTAAGCCTTTAAATAATCCCTTTCCTCCCCAAGTTGCTTTTGGTCATGGCTGTCTGGGAATATTTGTTTAACTAGGCAAAAATGTGTTACATTTGCTTCTGCTGCCTTTGTTAATGATGTAAAGATATGTTGCATTTGTTTATGCTGCATTTGCTTAATTATGTAAAGATGTGTTGCTGTTTCACTTTGCCTGCCTAAGGCACCTGATTGGTCCAATGAAAAGCTGAATAGCCAATAGCTAGGAGGAGAAGAATAGGCGGGGCTTGTGGTCAGAGAGAATAAAAAGGAGGAGAAATCTAGGCTCGGTAGAGAAGAAGGAGGAGAGAACGAGGGAGAGAGGGACAGGCCTGGGGCCAGCTAGACATGGAGACAGAAGGAAAGTAAGACATTTATATAGAAAGAAAGAAAGGAAAGAAGGAAGAAAGGTAAAAAGCCCTGAAGCAAAACATATATAAAGAGAAACAGACTAAAATAAGGACTAAGATAAGGCTGAACATTCATAACTAATAATAAGATTCTGTATCATGATTTGGGAGCTGGTTGGTGGCCCAAAAGAACAAGCTTGTTACACATGGCATTTTATCACAACATTAAAAATTCTAGCTAAGAGACCTCTCTTCCTTAAACAAAAAGGTCATTTGAGGAGAATTTAATAGTAATCATAAAGGTGTGGAAACCATAACAACAGTGCAGGAATCTAGAGCTGTGCCGCGGAGCGTTGTGACTTGTAGGTAAGCCTTCTGAGGTAAGCAGGAGCCTTCCATAAAGCGAACCAGCCACCCTGTTTTTCCAGTTTCCACTAGTGCCGCTTTGCCTGACTGAGGGCAGAGGCCCGAAAGTCTGCGGGTTTACTTCACACAGCGCTGGCTGCATCATAACAGGCAGAGCTGGGAGCCCAAGGAGGAGGAGCGTGAGCGCCGCAGCAGCTGGGTTTGGTCAACTGCAGGTACACAGTATTTTCTGTGGCTACCAGCACCGGGATAAGTTTAAAACCCATAAATCCATGATCCACATGGGCCGATGCCAGCTGTGGTCATGAGCAAGAAAGCACAATTCTTGCAAAGAGGAGTTACCTCAAAATGTCAAGTCTCTTGATTTTCAAAGGGATGAGCTGATCCACGGATATTTCTCAATACTCTGCTCTCTCTCCCTCCACTCCCCCCTCTCTGGTGTGTGTGCATGCGTCATGGACCAGAGGACAATGGGTAACTGCTCTATCAGTTTTCACTCTGTTCCTTTGAGATAGGGACTTTTACTGAACTTAGAGCTAGGCTGGCAGCCAGCAAGCCTCAGAGATCCTCCTGTCCCTGCCTACTATTGCCCTAGGGTTAAAGATCTGTGTGGCAATGCCAGGCTTCCTTCCTTCCTTCCTTCCTTCCTTCCTTCCTTCCTTCCTTCCTTCCTTCCTTCCTTCCTTCCTTCCTT